TCCAGACTTGAGACAATACCCAAAACTTAGTTTTTGTAGATAGACCAGGCCGGGGATTGAACCCGGGACCTCGTAGATGGCGGCTCCGTGAAAATGTACAAATGTACAAACCACGCGGAAGTTTTTATTTAAAACTTAGAAATGTCTACTTAATTTAAACTGCAATAAAGTTCCATTTTGTTAAATATCACGATTACCCAAAATTGGTATACCTATAGGAAAATAGAAGATGAAGAATCGAAATCATGGTAGCCTAACGGCTTGACCTAGTGCCTCTCATGCAGAAGCCGTAGGTTCGAATCCGGGCTTGCACCTCTGGAGTATTTCGGAATTGATGTGCAAAATTTAATTAGAATTTTACCACTAGCGGATTATAAACTCACACGAGAAGCCAGGGCCCAGCAGTGGGCCGTATAAATGGGTTGATGATGATGGTATACCTATATTTACACCTGCCTCTGTGGCCGAACGGTTACCATGCTGGATTGCCACGCAGATGTCCCGCGTTTGATTTTCGGGCTGGGCGAAATATTTGTATGGCCTACGTGTGCGTCCAGAGCACCTACGATACAGGGTTTCCCTAATGCGGGGCTACGAGTGTGTTTTAAAAAAATATGTCGCGTATACTAAACTGCTTTATAGTAAAGGCGACTACTTTCGCATCAACTCAGAAATATCAGAGATTGACTGGAATACTGAATTGTCGACAAGACCCATTGATAATGCTGTGGACTTCTTTTACAGCCACATTAATAATATAGTAAATTAGAATACACCTTCTAAATCTGTATCATCTAAAATGTATCCTTTCTGGTAGTCTGAGCCCCTGAAGAGGGCAGTCAAAGAAATGCATGAGTATCTTAGGGTCGTATTCTAGAACTCTACTCAATGCTCAAGTCAGGATTGAGTATGGCTTAAAGCACTCGAAATCATACTCAAGTCCCTGCCATTAGTGTCGTATTTTCAGTGCAATCCTGACTTGAGCATTGAGTAGAGTTCTGGAATGCGACCCTAAGAAAGTTCAAAGTCAACGGAAACAAGTCAGACGAACCATCTTACAGAATTTTACGAGACAGAATTGTAGCCATCGAATCTGAATGTTACGAGAAATATATACATAATACTGAGTCATCAATTGCCAACAATCCCAAACACTTCTGGTCTCACATTAAATCCCGCTCCAGATACAATACATTGCCTAGTAGCTTGTCGTACGAAGGCAAAATCGTTAATACCGGTGAATCTATTACAAACGCATTCTCTGATTATTTTTCCACGGACGAATCTACTTCTTCGCACATCTCTTCCGTTGAAATCGACGTCAGTGAAGTGTGTAAACTTCTTTCAAAATTAGATGTTTCCAAAGGAGCGGGACCCGATAATCTTCCAGCGTGTTTTTTAATTAAAGCTGCTCCTTTGATTTCAATCCCCATAACTATTTTATTTCAGTTCTTAGGTTTTCGCGATTGTTACACATAGGAAATGAAACTATTTTTCCGGATTTAAATCGCGAATATTTGTTTTTTTAAACAAACCGACGTTTCGGGCCCTTTACAGGTCCCATGGTCATCTATTCCTATATTTTATTTAAGTACTCCATCTCCTCCTGTAAATTACCGTCGGCTTAGAAACATGTTTATGTTACTCCCGTACATAAGAAAGGCTCCAAAACTGAAATTAGTAATTGCCGCCCCATATCTAAACTTTGCGTCATCTCGAAAATGTTTGAAAAGTTAATCTAGACAGCTGTTTGAATTAATTAAAACAAACATTTCACAGTCGCAGCATGGGTTCATCAGGGGTCAACGACATCAAATTTGGTCGTGATAAGCGACTTTATATCAGCAGCAATGGAATGGGGACCAGGTTGACGTGATCTATACTGATTACAGCAAATGTTTTGATCGCATAGATCACAAAGGTCAAACTGCTTTCAAAAATTAACAAACTTGGGGTTCGTGGCAATCTTCTTCGATAGTTTGCTTCTTATATTGACTATAGATCTCAAGCAGTTGTTGTTAGTAATTATATTTCTAGCTGGGCCAAAATATCAAGCGGCGTGGCTCAGGGATCTTTACTAGGACGGTTGCTCTTCACTATTTTTACTAATGATATTCATTTGTGTTTGACTTCAAGTAACCTTTTATGTTTTGCCGATGACATGAAAATTTATTATATATATTCCAGGATTTCAACCACGTTTGAAGCTGAGGCTTTCTAAACTAACTTGCTGCTGCTTGAGAAATATTGTATTTCTAATAAATTAGACTTAAATCCTACCAAATGCTCAGTAGTAACCTACAGTCGCAAATACAATCCCTTAGTCTTTAATTATATGCTCGGCGGTCAGGTCCTTAAACGTGGAGACACAGCACGTGATGTGGGTATCACATTCGATAATAAACTTTTGTTTGATGCGCACATAGGTAAAATAGTTACCAAAGCATCACGTGCGCTGGGGTTTGCGATGCGTCGTTCTAGTGAATTTCGATATAAAGACAGTTAAAATCTTGTACTGTACATTTGTTCGGAGTATTCTGGAATACGCCTCTCAGATTTGGAACCCGCAATACGATACGCAATACTTCACGCATAGAACGCATTAAAAAAAGATTTATTCGTTACCTGTGTTTCAGTACTAAACGCCAATATCATAATGAAGATTATCTGCATATTTGCATAATCCACCATATTCTTTCTCTTTATATGCGTCGTCAAATAGCCGATTGTACATATATTTTAAAAATAGCTCAGAAAAGAATTGATTGTCCTGAACCACTGTACAAACTTAACTTTTTGACTCCCGAGCGTAATTTTAGGGCTAATAAAATATTTGACATACCTGTAGTCTCAACCAATTACAGAAAGAATTCGTTTCTGCTACGAGCTTGCAACAATATCAGTAACCTGGTCAATAAAGTAGCTGTTGCTGTCTTTAACACTGGAGTTACCACAGCGAGAGGGTTACTCAACGATTTTTTGTTTAATTCTTAGGAAAGTAACATATATCTTTTTCTTCTTGAATTTATGATTGTTAAATTTTCATAATTTCTCTAGATTGTTTACATGTTTACGTTATATTATATCTATAAGTGTAAACTAAATTGACCTGCTTCACTTTTCATTTTAGTTATATTTGTATATAGTTATAGTTTACCATGAAGAAATAAAAAAAAATAACAGGGCGTGATTATTTTTTTATTTATTTCTTCATAGCACATGTCGCCTGTGTACTGGGGCGAGACACCTTGAGAGGTGCCCCGTACCTCTGACCTATCAGAATTGAGCTCGTAATCGCGGTGCAAGTGTACACTAATACCGACCCGATAGATGCCAACCGACAGTCACTGAAAAATAGGCACCGACAGTCATAAGCCTCGATATATATATGGGTTATGCCGAGTGGACAAAGTGATAGGTATGAGATTTTAAGACCTAATTATGTAATGATTGCATACAATACTTTTTTCTACGAGTAAATAAAGTAATAAACAATAATAAAAAATAAAAACACAATAAAGTAATAAAAAATAAAAACAACCAATATTTAATGTATATTTTGTTAACAATCCATGACAACAAACTCTAACGAAAATCAAACAAACGAACCAAAAAGAGCGCCTTAGTGATATGTGTTATGAAATTATAATTGACAGATGAGTAGAAAAAAAATACATAAGAAGTGTGTTTGGTCAGAATATGGCATTGTAGCACGACTTTATCTTTTTTGTTCAATCACTTTCACTGATATGATATATCATGTCGGTGAAAAAAACTCGTGTAACGATTGTTATAATGCCTAAAGTTTAATCGAGGAAGGTGTAAACGAGTATCTTCAGACAATTAGTGTGGCGATGAGTGTAATTTCCGGGGAATAATACTATTTATTAGGCTACGGAAGCAATTCATTTACTCTATCGTAGGTAATTTAGAATCTACCATCGTGTAATAGCATTGTTTTTATTACACATTATTTCGTATTTATTTTGCCAAAACTATCTGCAAAACTATTAGTATAATGTGTTCTATACTTTCAGTTATTTGTGGCAAATATTTTGGAATTTATAGGTTCATAAATGTCATAGCGGCGCGAGTTTTATAACGAAAATACGTATGCCGGGAAAACCGAAAACCTTTTGCTAAAATTATTCGGTTGCTTGGCATTAAATAGCTCTTGTAGTAATGTTTATTTTTATCGAAGCTTAAAAACATCTGGGTCACGATCAAACGAAACGTTTATCCGGTTATAAATGAAGTCTGTATTTATGTAACTTTTAATAGATTAGGGTAAAAGTTAAAATGCTTAGGAGCTTTGAATAATAACGCATAGAAACCTAGCCCGCACACGCTAAGTGAGGCAAATTGAAACGCTCCCAAAGGGCCTACATGAGCGGGCGGGCCTTCAATGCTCAAGATCAACTTGCACCGCGAACAGCTCCAGAATTTTAGCTAAAAATGACGAAATGTGCGGTAAATGAGTGTAAAAATACGTCTGACAAACATAAAATAGATACTAACATCACATTCCACAAGGAAGTAACGCGTTTCAACTTGTATTATACATAAACTAAAACCGAAAATTAACCTACTACTAAAACTAGCCTACATGAACTTGATTTTTGATATGAAACTATCATTCTATGCGTTATTATTCTAAGCTTAGGAGTTACTCTAACAACAAAAAGTTGTTGTTCAAATTACATATTTGGTCGAATTTTCGTTTCGTTCACTCACTAAATGGTCACAGTAGAATACGCCTTAAAATACTTAAGACCAAAATGTTGAAGATGACAATTATTATTGAATTTAATAACAAACCGAAAGAGAATATATATATTTAGCAGCAGTAGATCTCCTTGAGCTTACCATCAGGCGCACGATTAGTTCGTCCCGTCACTTGATATTATAATATATACCGTAGCTCCTTTACCTCGCACCTACAGATATAATATGATTGAAGTAGCAACGGATTTAAAATGCATCTCTTCTGTTTGTTCCAGAGTTCTTCCGAAAGCTACTGGCTCTATCAAGAGAGGAATTCCACGGAATGTTCAAACGAACTTACGGGATGATCTACGAGCAGCACTCTTACGTCTTTGAACAGCTTTTCGAACAGTTGGAGAGGTCAGTACAGCACGGATAATATTGTTGCTATACTTTTGATACGTTCCGATTGGATATATGTATTTTTAAAATATGTATATGTGGCATTACCAGAGATTGAAATAGGTAGAACATATTTACTTCAAAAAGGTAATACACGTAATGAATCTCTCTTTGCAATCCCAAGATTGTGGCACGGCTACAAATGTTTATACAATTTCTAGAGTCGGACGCCAGTCACGCTTAATTTGCCGTCACAACTAGTGATGCCAATGGATAAACTTCAAATCGGAGATTTTATCGATAATGTGAAAATTCCAGAAATAATTGTAACTTCTTATAATTATTAATACAAAGATCGAACATTCAGAAAAACACTCAGAAAAAATTCCTTCGATTCGGTCGGATTCGAACCGACGTCTTCTTGCATACCGTGCCAGACGCTATACCAACTAAGCCACGGAACGAATCAACGGACCTCACAAATTTTGTGAAAAAAAATGTGCTTGCATCGTGTCTTTGTACTTGGTCTTTCAACGACTTTTTAGTCGTAGCGCCATCTATGAGAAATCTATGACAGATTTATCACCCAGTTAGTACCTTTACAGCTACCAGTCCTGGCTAAAGATGTCGCTATTCACTGTATTAATTAAATTTTTATTGAATTGATATTCAATTATTTTTTATGAAATTACTCCACTAGTTTCTTATAATTATTAATACAAAGATCGAACACTCAGAAAAACACTCAGAAAAAATTCCTTCGATCCGGTCGGATTCGAACCGACGTCTTCTTGCATCGAAGGATTTTTTTCTGGAGGTGGAGTAATTTCACAAAAAATAATTGAATATCAATTCAATAAAAATTTAATTAATAATTGTAACTTTTTTATTAAAAAAAAAGACCTCAAAAGTTCGTAGAATTAAATCTATTTGCCAAGTTTTATTGAAATCGGTTACCGGAAAGAGTGCGAAACCGGATTCATCCTCTAGTTTGCCCTTAGGAGGAAGATTTTTTCAAATTTAAATGGAACCAATACTGAGGTACCCCTTTCCAACAAAAAAAAAAACATCGAAATCGGCTCACAAATGCCGGAGTAAAATGTCCTCCTTTTTTTGAAGTCGTTTAAAAATAAGATCACAACCGTACTTACTTCGAAATAGGAAATATATAGTCCAAACAATTATTTATAAAACAGCCTTATTCAAAAATATGCGTTGTCGATATGGCACCTAAAAAATTTAATAAAATCCCATTCCTCAATAAAAAATCTTAATGGAATGCGATTCAATCATATACTAAACACAACTATTAATTGACAAGTGTTACTACAGAACAGTATATAGTATTGTACCTATTACTATTATTATTTTTATTTTTTGTTTGACATTGTATTTTTATTATTTAATTGGTAATAACTAATTAGTAGACGAATTTAATTTATTTATTCACATTAGCGTGATTATAATAAGTCTTTCGTCATGCATTCGAACTATTTGCTGTTTCCTTGTCAAATTTCAAGTCGATATCATTAAATTAATGTTCTAAACTATTAATGCTAAACCTAAAACGGATATCGGTAACAAACTTGATAAGAATAATGAATTATTTAACATTACAATGTAGTTCAACTTAACAATATTCGCGGTTATTTTTTTGTTACACGGAAAACCAAAAATTAACATAAACTCATAAACGTGAATGAATATTCTTATGGAATAAAAAAAAAACTATCAACGACTAGTTTATCATCAATTTTGATTATTTTGACAAAATAAAGGTAACGAACGGGTTCTAATACGTGTTTACAAAGAAAAATTCCTTAGATTCGACTGGACAATGTCTCATAGTCCAGTATCAATGCACTGGATTATGCAACAGACATTGGTTCGTGTCCAGTTGAATCGAAGTAATTTTTCTTTGCATTTGTTCGATCTTTGTATCAATAATAATAACAAAGTAAAAATTCAGAAAAAATATACTAATATCATGATATAAACACATCAAATTTAAATGAGATCACTATTCTGGGGGCCTACTACAACCTCTTAAAACAATATGACTTTAACCTTACATTGACTTTTCGTACCATAACGCGCTTACAGTAAGCTTATTCGCAATGTTAAAACTATGAATTTTATTGGCAGCTTTGTAACTATTCATTCACTCAGTTCGTACTATGACGCGACTTTGACAGTAAAGTAATATTGCTCTTAAATCAAATTTAGCAATCTTAAAATAGTTAAACGAATGCAATGAAAACAATATTATTTTCAGTTTTATTGTCTTAATATCGATTTGTAATGGTTAAAAGTTAAGTTGAACTTATTTATTTACATATATCTCTTCAATATTTTGTTTATTTTTATTTAATAGCACATAGGATGTTTATTTCGTAAAATTATGACAGCGCCATCTATATGCTCCTTAGCGAAACTAACAGTTGACACTAGACTATTGTTCCGAATTCACAACGTGACTATCAAGACTCAGCATGTTTTATTTATTTATCTTCATGAAAATGCGGAATAATAATTCAAAACAATGTAATTTTAATAGATTTCATTATTACATACTTTTATTGTTTTGGCAATTAAAATTCTCTGTATGTAAATAATATTAAGTACTTTAACATTATACTACGATAACAGGATTCGGAACATCAAAAAAGAAAGATGTGGCATTATACAGTTCATACAGCGTTATTTCTTTCCTACTTTTAGTAAGGAATAGACAATATGGGAAATCATTCGTTCTTTTAGTCACTTTAGCAATAATACATTACTTGGTTGATAGGTTTGTCATGGTACGAATATGAGTAATATTACAATAAGCTTACTTTATGCTTACATTGAATTAAGATTGTTTTTGGAAAGGTTATGGTAGGCCCTCTGGTACCATCTAGCCAACAAAAAAGAATCATCAAAATCGGTTCATAAACGGCCAGAGTTATCGCGTAACATACATTTAAAAAAAAACGAAAAATAATACAGTCGAAATGAGAGCCTCCTCATTTTAGGGAAGTCGGTCTTATTGCTTCTGATGCAGTCGTCATTAAATCTCTTGAACAATCGTTAATATTTCCAGGTATTACACGCGTGGAGATACGGACTTCGACGCAATGATGGACGGCTTCTTCGGTATTCTCTATCAGAAGATGTTCACCGTCCTCAACTCGCAGTATAATTTTGATGAGAAGTGAGTACTGTTCATTGTCCACCACATTTTTCATTTTGCCAATACTTTAATTTCATATGTAAATTCAAATTACTTCCATGATCATGCCGAAGACGGTTTAGTCATCAACTAGTTTAATCTAATATTAATACGGGTGGTTTGTGTTCTGAATTCTGAACTATAATTATAAGAATAATTTATGAATTACGTAGTAGGTAGTAGAGTTCCTGAGAAATTGTTCATCTATTAATATCTAAACTTATTATGAGCACCTACCCGTTGACTTAAAAAATGAGCCTAATGATGAAACATTTGATCGTCGACTGAAAGACTTTTTGTTGGATAATGCGTATTATTCCACTGAAGAATATAGGGACATGGTCTTGTAATATATGTTGTAATTTATAGATTATTAGGTATAGATATTTTTTTACAGAAATGAATAAATTACATATTATGCATACAGTCATTATATTGACATAATTATTATTTAATATGTGCCTACATTATTTCACATAACTACATTGACTATGTTAAAATTACGTAGTACAAAACTTGTACTGGATATTTGTAATTTTTTGAAATGTAACATTTATTACTATTTGTAACGATTCTTGTAATACAATATATTGTATATAATAATGTAAAGTTTACAAGATAATAAAATAAATCTAAATCTACTTTGGGGAAACTATTTTAAAGAACATAATAAAGCTGTCCATAATGCCGTTGCTTTCGGAAATTGAAATTGTAACCATAACAGCGTAGCTACAATTTCACTTTCAACTATATATTAATCTGGGAAAAAAGAACACAAACAAAAGACATTGGTGAAATAAAATTGCCTAATTTTATTGATAGACACATTGACTTACAAATAAATGGACGACGGGTCTAATACTACGAGGGGAGGTCCAAAAGTCCGCGGAATGGAGGGGTTGTAAATAATATAAAACAATAAGGCTATTTTTCCTTTTCAATATAATTACCTTTGAGCTCAATACATTTTTTAGATCTCGAAATTAGCTTTTCTATGCCATCGAAAAAATATTTTTTCTCTTTGCTCTCAAAATGAGCTAAAATTGCTGCCTTAACCTCTTCATCGTCGCGAAATTTTTTCCCACGTAATTCTTTTTTCAAATTTGGGAACAAATAATAATCGCTGGGGGCTAGGTCCGGGCTGTAAGGTGGGTGGGTCAGCGATTGAAAGCCACACTTGTGTAGAGCAGCCATCGCAACATTGCTCTTGTGAACCGGTGCGTTGTCTTGCAAAAGCAACACACCCTTTGTCCATTTTCCCCGCCTTTTTTCTTTGACAGCTTCCTTCAGTCTCTCTGTAATGTTCTTGCGTAATATTCTCCCGTTATATTGACCCCCTTTTCTTTGTAGTCAACCAATAAAATTCCTTTACAATCCCAAAAAACCGTAGCCATGATTTTTCCAGCCGATTCCGACACCTTAAACTTCTTAGGGGGTGGTGTACCCTTTTTATGCCATTGCATTGACTCCTGTTTGGACTCGGGCTCAAAGTGATGAACCCAAGTTTCATCTCCAGTAACAATTTGCTCCAAAATTGGGGTAGGTTCTGCGCCACATAGCTCCAAGCAGTGCTTTGATGCATCGATTCTTTGTTGCTTTTGAGGCGTCGTGAGCATTCTCGGCACCCATCTTGCACTGACTTTCGTCATGCCAAGATGATCGTGTAGGATCCTCAAAATGGTAGTGTCTGATACTCCTACTAATGCAGACAGCTGTTTCTTCTTCAGACGGGCATCTTCCAATATAAATTTTTCGATTTTTTCAACATTGTCTGATGTGGTGGCCTCAACTGGCCGTCCTGGGCGAGGATCGTCTTCAATTGATTCTCTGCCATGTTTGAAAAGACCGTGCCACTTGTAAATCATTGTTTTACCAGGGCACTGATTCCCATAAGCAGTTTCCATCTCATTCATAATGGTTTGAGGAGGTTTTCCTTGTTTGGTAAGGAATTTGATGACAGCACGAAACTCGATTTGCTTCATATTTGCAGTTTTCTTCCGGATTTACTTGTTTGTATGGCGATATTTCGTAAACTAATGAAGTTAAAAGGGTGAAGCTTGATATATATACCTCTAATGAGTATCTGATTAGTACCACATCAAGCAAGCGTAATTAGCGGGCTCCCGCCCCCTCCATTCCGCGGACTTTTGGACCTCCCCTCGTAAAATTACGAAAAAAATGTCCCAAGTCAACCTATTTAAACGTAGTGACATGTAAAGGAATATGAAAAAGCTAAAACGTTGAATTTAAATTGTAATGTCATCGAAGTACTGTCTAATTTTGCTTGCTTCGCTGTCAGTCGAACAAACGAAGACTAAAGCGTGAATGACGCTCTGTATACGATTTTAACGCCCTATAAGTTCGGACACTTTTTAGCGCGGACCCGACTTCCATATAATTGTCAGTCAATGGATAGACAGCTAAATTTCAATCGGGCAAATATTGTATTTAAATACGTTTTCTATTTACGAATTATTTACCTGGCAGTGATAGATCCGTCCTCGCTTGCTTCAAGATATTCTTAAACTTAAACAGAAACAAAAAGGACTTCATTTAAGTTATCAAGTGGTTCGTGGTGGATCGAATGGTATAACTGCCTCCGTGGCCGAACGGTTACCATGCCGGACTGCCACGCAGAGGTCCCGGGTTCGATCCCGTGTCGGGAGAAATATTTGTATGGCCTACATTTATTTCTCTCGTGAGTTTGGGTGTAACTTGTGGTTGTCTATGTGTGTGTCCATGGTACCCGCGACACAGGGTTTCCCTAGTGCGGGGCCATGTTGAGTGTGTGCGTTATTATTATTATTATTAATATTATTATTATTATCGAGTGCGTAGATTTTCACGATGGAAATTACACAATGGAAATGAAAGTATATTTTCCAATCTATTACGTGTATTTGTTTTTTTTTTTAAACAAACCAACGTTTTGGGCTCTTTTCGATTCCCATGGTCACGGCTGACTAAGTAGTGTTAGTCATCAACTAGTTATGTGTAATATTAAAGGAAACCACCCATATTCTGAACTATGATAGTTATAAAAATTACTATATTTTTTTATGATACATACCAAGTGACGGAACGAGCAAGTCAACACTTCAAACGTTAACTTTTCAATGCTTTCATAGAATAGAATTGACGTCTCGAAGCTTATACTTATAAATCTTCCCCCTACCAACGTTAAATCAAATTTGTAGACCCCCTCCCTCCCCCTTAATATGTAAAAAATAATGACAAACGCAGACAACCGTATCTTGTACCCAAATTTATTTCAGTACTCACAGATCACACAACACATTTACAGAGACATTACACTAACAATGACGACATGTCCCACAATATCTTTCGCAGTACGAGCTGTCGTAAACCAACCCTTTCATTATAAATAAATCCAAATTGGCCATAACCACCCCTACTCAGCAGCAATGTAACAAAGGTTCAAAGAAATACCAACTCTAATTCCGCGAAATAAGACTTCGGCCGCAGCTAGACGATATGTCGTACAGAATACCACACATAACGCATAACTTTCAGGAACAGAAAATATAGCGTCGACTGTTAAATCTGTGTTGCCTTTACTGCCATGGAGCTCTATAAAGAGTGATTACATTTCAAGTGGAATTGTTTGTTTATGTGTCTATCCCAATATTGTCGGTTAAGTGGTTTATACACATACAATAAAACGTTTCGCTTTACAGTATTTTAAGATTTTAAAAATGTAACAACTACGAAAATTGTTTGTATATCCGCATATACTAAGTTTTGTATGTAGACAAAATGTAACTTTTTGGTATTGATTCTGATATTACAGCATAAAGTAACTATGGACACAACCCCGCCATCCGGGTTCCACCGGCCAGGCGTGAAGAGACGAGAATTGTAATCTCGCCGGCGCATTTCCACCAAAAATTTGCCATTAATAGTTTTCTCATG